ATAAGCACGGGGTATGAGGGACCGGTACCCCAAAAATGAGATGAAGAGTGTGTGGTTTGATTCCACTTATGAAACGGGTTCCAAATAAATGAAGGCTTATTGTCTATGGTTTTACTTGATTTTTCAAAGGATATCCGAACGAAAAATGTTTTCTCATACACCTAATCAAATTGCTTGAAATGAATGAAAGTATGTACTAACTTCACTTGCACGTTTTTAAAATTGGAAAGTCTTGTAAAACATAGATCGAATAAGCACGGGGTATGAGGGACCGGTACCCCAAAAATGAGATGAAGAGTGTGTGGTTTGATTCCACTTATGAAATGGGTTCCAAATAAATGAAGGCTTGTTGTCTATGGTTTTACTTGATTTTCCAAAGGATATCCAAACAAAAATATTTTTTTCTCACACGTTGTATGAGCACTTGAATGAATGTATGTGTAAAAGAATGACGACTCCCTTGTAAGGGATTACTCTTATTCCTGATGAAATGATGAAAGGAAGGTCTAAGAGGTAAAATGAGAATGGTCTAAGAGGTAATCCGAGAAGGTAAAGGTAAATTGGTAAAATCCCTCAATGAAATGACGATTGAGGTAAAATCCCTCATAAATATATGCTTGTTTGCCTATGTGTATTCGGTATTTCTTTGGAAATTCTCATTGAGTCCAAAAGACTCATACAGGTGTTGAAATGCTTGTAGGTACTTTCAATCCCAAGCACGAGTCGTAAAGTTGGAGTCGAGTTCGAGAATCGAGGGATGTGTTCATATGGAAGGCGTGTGGATCTTGTGTGCTCTTAATTTAGCCATATTGTTCTACTTATATAGTTTAATTTTAAAGACTTTCGATACCATCTTAGATATCCATTATCGTACTCTTCCACCCCTGGGGGGATCTTATTAGTAAGAACATTGCATCTAATAATAATTAGGATTTTGATTTCCTCTTTTTGCCAAACTTCTATATAATGCTTATCGGTTAATTATATGTTGTGTTCTACCCAATTGTTCGATAATCCGTATTAAATATACTTTCGGTTTAGAATTGCATGTAATTTTACACAGTCATAGGTTTTACTGTTAGGGTTATTTTGGAAGGTATTTTGCATCATTTGGATAAGTTACAAATTTATTATGAATTAATTTCCGTAACTGTGCACATGCTGAGTCATTTTAGGAAATGCATCAATATATGAAGTTGTTCTTACTCAAATGAATCCATTTAACTTGGAGTATGTTTCTAACTCAATTATCTACTTTGGTATAAAATTTGGTAGTGTTTAGAACAGTAGGGAATTTATAAAGAATTTTCAAAGTTCCCTTCCCTGTTCTGGATTTTCAAATTGTACAGTTGCATGTGTTTAATTATTTCTCTCAAATGCCTAATGTTGTTTTAAAACTGTTTTAAATGAGTCATTAAGACCCATATTAAAGTATGTGGTTAAATTTTAAAAGTCTTTTCACGAAGGGTTTAAGAGAAAATAATTTTCGAAGTTTATCTATCAATCTGTCCGAAATTATTCTCTTTACTCTTGATAATTTACTAGTTACCCCTTTTGTGATAGTTGGTTAAGTTTATATGATATGGTAATATGTGGACACTCTTCCTCTGATTTAAAAAAAAAAAAAAGAAAAAAAAAATTATGGGTATCTTTCTATTTGTAGAAGGTGATTATTTTTAAAACGAGCATTACACACTCAGTATCTTCTAAAAGTCTCCCGCTAGCGTATTCTAAATTACTAAGTAAATGTACATAAAAAAGGGGTGTCACAATTACTATCACAAACAGTAATATTATTGCATGAGACAGTAATATTACGGTCGGAGATAGTAATATAACAGTCGAAGACAGGAAAAATGCAGGCCAAGACGATAAAATTAATTAATACTGTAATATTACTGTCTTAGACAGTTAAATTACTATTGAAGACAGTAATTTAGCAGCCAAAACAGTAATATTAATTAAAATAATGTTTTTTAAGAAAAAACAAAATTTCACAAAAAAAAAATCAAGTAATAGTTAAATTACTGTCTCCAACAGTCAAAAAACTGCATGAAACAGTAATTTAGCAGCCAAGACTGTAATATTAATTAAAATATTTTAAAAAATAAGAATCAATTAACAGTTAAATTACTGTCTCCGACAGTTAAATAACTGTTGCATACAGCAATTTAGCAGCCAAGACATTAATATTCATTAAAACCTATTTTTAAAGAAAAAAAAAAGTCAATTAACAGTTAAATTACTATCTACGACAGTTAAATAACTGCTGGAGATAGTAATTTACCAGCCAAGACACTAATATTAATTAAAATATTTTCAAAAAGAAAAAAAAAGGTCAACGCCGGGGACTGGCGGTCTTCGGCAACTGACCAACAGGCTCCGGTGGTGGCGGGTCAAGGGTCAAAATTAGGGTCAAAATTGGTTAAATTGGGTTAAATTGGGCTAAATTGGGGTGTAAATTATGAAATTGGAGTTGAATTGAGTTTCAAAGAATTCGGGGTAATTTTGCTATGTATAAAAGTGTTTTCCTTATTTGCAAATAAGTTTGAATAAACTAGAAATATTTGAAAGACAAAAAAGTCAAATATCTCATTTTTAATTAAGAGGGTGTTTGGCTAAGCTTATTTTAAACAGCTGATAAGCTCTTACGTCTGGTAAGATGTTTTTAGATCTGATAAGTTGTTACATCTTATTTTTAAGATTTTTTTTAGATTGTTTGGATAATGAGCTTATTTCCTATTTTTACTCATCATAAGATGTTAAATAAAAAAGTGGGGTATAGGTATTTTTTTAAAAAGATCTTATTTGCTCTCCAACAGCTTATTTTAAAAAAAAATAAGATCTTCTTTTAAAAATTCACCAAACACTTTGAAAGAGCTTATAAGCTCTAAAACTTCTTATAAGCTCTTTTTAACATCTTATAAGCTTAAACACCCTCTAAGTACCCTTGTTATGGCATTTTTGACATTAACTCAATTTAATTATTCTTTTAGTTATGTCTTTAAATAAAAAAAGAATTTTTTTTAGGATTTAAAATATAAATTAAATTGAGCTTGAGGGGTAAGTGTTAGAGAGGAGTGTAAGTGTTTGAGAGGGTATACTTTAGGGTTGTAAACTGTATTTAACCCTTATATTTTTGTATATAAAATATACCATATATTATAATACAAAAATATCTTAAAATTATATTCCAAAATAGAAAATATATATATATATATATATATATATATATATATATATATATATATATATATATATATATATATATATATATATATGTATATATATATATATATGTGTGTGTGTGTGTGTGTGTGTGTCGTAGATATTCTATCATTGTCAATTTCCTAAATTTTAGTTACCGAGTTATTTTATTAATTTGGACTTTGTTGAATTCTTGGGCTCAAGTAAAAAGGCCCTATTCGAAGAATGAAATTAGGGTGAATATTATTTATTACTTAGCTTCTCTGTTCACTTTTTTTCTTTTCACGCGGCTCTCTGGTTGTGTTTCGGTCGAATTGTGGAATTTATATCTTGAGAAAACCCAATTCATACTGTATCTTTAAAAGTACAATTATATTTACAGATTTTGGGAGAAGGGTCTTTTTTTTTTTGGTTTTGTGTGTTCAAAATTGAAAAGTACAATAAACACAAATTCGTTTTGGCACATACATATTTAATTTGATTGCGTTCACCAAATCTGAAATTCACAGAAAAAATGGTGGTGGCAAGGTCGTTATTGGAAAGCTACGTAAAGGAATTCGAAAAGATAATAGAATCGACTAGACGTAAACTGGATGGAAGCATCGGCCTTTCGCCCGTCGGGGAAGAAATATTCATCGATAGGTTCGAGATTAAAATCCCGTAAGAGATCCAACAAGATCGAGATCTGTGGGTACAGCTACAACAGCAGGTTGTGCACATGCAGAAGTTGATGTGCCGGACGAGCGTATTTATCGATTCTTACGGAATGCAAGTGTGGAGGAGTGCCCAAAAAGTGCGAACCCGGCGCCACATTCCGCGCCGATTATACAAGTACGCGACACTAGTCAAGTGTTACGGCAACCAGATATGTTTGTACGGCATTGAAGGTCAAGGTTGTGCATTGGCACAAGTGGCTAGCACCCCTAAATCTCAAGCCGATGTCGAAAAACGTAGGGTTGAACTCGAACAAGTTAGGGTTGAGCTTGAAGAATGGAGGGCTCGTGTCCAACAAGCAAAGGCTAACTTCGAACATGCAGAAAACGGGGACACGACTACTACTACTACTGCAGCTACTACTACTAGTATTGGTAATTAAATTAAAACTAGTTAATGCGTAATTAGATTTGATGCACGTTTGATTTGGGAATTGATCGTTTGTTTGTTTGTTTGTGAATGTTAGTGTTACCGGAGCTGCCGCAGATGACGTTGCCGGTCCCACACGAAGAAATCCTAGACGATGGGCTGATCATGATCCGCAAGTATCAGTTGATCAAAATGGATGCTGACATTTATTAGTCGTAAAGTAGAGACGGGATGAAGATGCTTTTTTTTTTTTTTTTTTTTTTTAATTTATTGTTATTTATATTAATATACTTCTAATTTTGTTTGTTTAAAGCTGAAAAACTATTAAAAAAGTTGTTAAATAGTAACATGCGTTATCGCTTTTATTTTAAATTCCGAAAATTCTGATTTATGTTTTGTTCAAATGTAATTGCATTGAATTGAAATAGTTACGAAGAATTATATTTTCGATCTAATTTCAATATCTGTTTTTTCTTATTATTTTCAAAAGTTATACTTATAATGTCAATGCTGTTATTATTATTATATATTTTATATTATAGATGAATTTCGCCCGATAAAATTGCGATTTTGGAACAAATTTCCACATTTCGATTTTCAAAATTTCAAAGGTCCAAATTATGGATTTTACCAAATTAGGTTCTATTATTTGCCCATATAAATCCTTACATTTTCCAATTTTCATCAAAAATACCTTTCTCGACCAAAGCAAAGGAAGTAGGATGCCAAAGTCTTTACTAGAAGGCTACGTAAACGAATTCCAAGAAACGATAGATTCTACTCGAACTAAACTCGATCGATGCATGGATCTTTCATCCCCACTCGAACTAAACTCGATCGATGCATGGATCTTTCATCCCCACAGTACCACGACATGCGCATTGCGTACATAGCAATGTTTGCAGTTGGAATACGGAACGAGGTCCCACATCGAGATTTGTGGGTCGCGAAAGTCTTTATTTCTGCCTGCCTACGCCCATGGCTAGAATATAACCATTTATTACCATTGTGACAGAATCCTATACTTGTAACAATTTTTTACCCGGAGAAAGATACTTATAACCGAAACAAACATAGTTTTACTACAAAGTAAACGATCAAGATTCGAAATTTAAATGTATGAGCTCATCTACAATTCATTAACAGGGTATTAGTTTGGGTTCAAATTGCCTCTTCGGTTCAACAATAAATTCAAGAGTTGGTTCGAAAATTCCATTCCAATTTCCACCCCTAGTCGTAGATATTGAGATTCAAGTTAAAGGCCCTATTCGACGAATGAAATTAGGGTGAATATTATTTACTACTCGGCGGTGAACCAAGTATGATTTGAGATTCATCGATCCAGAATTGAGGAACCAGTAAATACCCTCCTTTTTTTTTATTTTAAAGAAGAGAGAAACGAAAAAAAAAAGGGATGAGCTTTTAAAGCAACCGAATTTGCTAAATAAAAAATAATAATAGCCCACGTTTATCGATTAACAACACAATCTATAAAACAATAAAAGTTACGAGCAAGCCTCGATAGCTAAAACCATAATTACTAATTACGCTAGAGACAATGCTTCGAGCTTCCATATAGTTAGTTCCAACTCGAGCTCTCCAGCCGAGGTTAAAAAGTCCGTCGGAACCACAACGAACCTTTCGGCCTTAGCCTCCGCACTCCACCGCGCAGTGCACTCCGCTACGCTCGTCACCATAATTGATCTCGCTCCGCATCTCGCCGTAAGATTATAGAAATACTCCCTCCTCGACGAAGCCGGTGCAATGAAAGTAACACTGACGTAATTCCCGGCATTTTCACTAAAACGGCTAAGTACGAATATTCTTAAAGTGTCCAGTTCTTGAAGAAACACGTGATTCTGGTCCTGGACGAACGAGACGCGGAAGCTACGGTCAAAGTCAAACTTCACGGAAGTCCAGTGTGTTACGGCAAAGTGGGAGTACACGGATTGGGGGGAATCGGCGTAGGTGCAGCCGAGGAGTGGGCAGTAGAAAGGGGCGTGTTTGCACGTTTTCTCGTGTGCGTGTTTGTCGGTGTAGCTTATTAGGTCCGAACACCCGTACGGCGCGTGCGCGCACAAGATTCTGAGCGATTCTAGAACCTTCTCGAGTGCCCTGCATCGGTTGGACCCGATCGGCAGGCAGCAGCTCGCGCATTTCTTGCTCATCTTGGCGCAACATGATTCGCATGCTATGTGCCCATTCCAGCACTGCATTGTAATAATCCAGAAATAATAAATTGGGAGGGCAA